CCCCCCCCCCCCCCCCCCCCCCCCCCAAAAGTGCCAGATCTATACAGACACTGGGCGAGCCTGGTCAACTACTCTGGCACATCTTCTGGGTATGTGCTGGGCTCGGCACAGGAGTGCACTGAGTTTAAAGTAAAGTGCCATTTTGGGGGGTGTTTTTTAATGTCTGCAAGCACCCATGGTGCCTAGCATATTGGATCTCCTAGGTGCTTATTATTAGTAATGGGGTTGTGAATCTACTGGGGCTGTGCTAGTGAAAGGAGATGCTTTACAGGTTTCTCCAGGACAGTACTAGCTCTAATTCAGCATCTGTAGTGCCTTCTCCTCTTCCTGTCTTAAGCTCCCAGTGCATTTTACCACCAGCAGCTATTCTAAACTTATGTTTCCAGATGTGCCTGGTCCTGTGATAGTTTGTGAATGGGATGTATTGAACCACTTTTATTCATAAGAGTTCACGAAACCTGCTCAATGTAGATGGCCACTAGTGAAAGAAGAATATTTTAATCCTTCCAAAACTTCCAGAGCAGTCAGTCTTACTCATGCTCTTAACTCTAATGTTTAAAATAATGTAATATGCAAATTACATATTAAACTAAAGTATTTCTTGTTTCCTTTAGGCTTATGGGTTTTCAATTGCAGATTCCTTTTCAGCATTCACCCATGTTGACAAAGATCATTTTATTGTGTTTCTTGCCATACAGGTCCACCTTGCCTCCAGTCCTATTTTGGATGCCTGGTATGGTGCCCGGGATTGGGCTCTGGAGTACATGAATCGTGAAGAAGGGTGGATAACCCGAAAGGATTATGAAGAAAAAGGTGGAGAATACCTCAAGGAGCACTGTGCTTCAAATGTTTATGTTCCCATTCGCCTCCCAAAGCAGGCCCCACGGACAACAGAAGCTCTAGCATCCAGCAAAGTGCTGGCAGCTAGTGTAAGCAATTCCAGTGACCAGGTATAGCAGGGAGCCTTTAATTATGCAGCCAGTGTTAACAAGATCATATTCTGTGCAGTGGAGCAGTTGTTATCTTACATAGACTGCAGACTTGAGCATTGCTGGTTGGGCACAGAGTGCTTGACATCTCAGGTGGGAGGTGCATCTCTTGAATGATCAGGATGAGGAGCTGCTCTATGCTACTAAAGCAGTGACTGGCTTTGTCGCAGCACTGCAGTGTGAATGGTGCCAGTGCAGAACATGGAACTGGCTCTAGCTCTACATGGAACAGAACAAAAGGACAGATGAAAACAGAAGATAAATATTTCAGATGATAAAGACAATCAACCTCACAGAATCTGGCATGTTTCCTATTACATATGATGTATTTTATAGTATTTCAAATTAAATGTACTTTTTATATTGTGCTCTTCTTTAAATGCCTTTTTTGGAGAAGCAGAGTTTGTAATGTGGTACGAGTCCAGCAGGGGTCTCTCTTGCCCAGTGCTGTATGAGAGGTTTGTAAGATGGCCAACACGCATCACTGGTTTTAAATTAAGAGGGCAGAAAACTGAACAAACTCAGTGGCACCAACATTTGCTTGAATCGGTTCTTCTCTTTTTCTCCCCCAGGCACTCCCAGAAAAACCACTACAGGAGAAAAGTATAAAATGTACAGCCCTACATTTCTTCCAGTCATGAAAAGATTTCCTTTGTCCCAAAGGCTACAGCCCGATAGGATTGCCATATCCTAAATTATGCTTAAATTGCTTTGGTGGATCAATGTTTGGGCACCAATAATAGATCCACTGTCATTTATTCTGCTCTCCCATGTAGGAATTTGGTGTCTGTTCCTCAACCCAACATAGGCTGTCAGCTTTAAGCTGAGTTGTAAACCCACTATAAATGCATAGTGGCTGCAGCTTTCTAGGGAGAAGGGTAAAGTCCTGTAAACTTTATAGCAAGGAAATGGGAATCAAAAAAGGTTTATAGCCTGTGCATTGAAGAAAGACCTGTAAGTGTTTTTATTCTCTCTCTCTCTCTCTGCCAAATAGTTATCAGTAACACATAAATATGGCCAACCAAACCCTGATCTTTGGGGTTTTTTTGACAGACTGTATGTGCCTGATTTCTCACTTTTCTTCAGACTCTCTTTCATATACACATCATCCCAAATCACAGAGTTAAACATACCAAGGAGAGAAACTCTCAACCCCTTTTATCTGAATACATAAAGATAGTTGCATATTCATTAGGTCACAGTGAGTGTATCTACACATGCATTTACTCCAACCTAGATTTACTGTGCAGTAAAATACTGCACAGTAAAAGATTTTGGGTAGATGTCTATACATACGGAGATTAGAGAGAATATTTGCTTCCAGTTCCCTGCAGCCCTACAATGTGCCCCTGTGGCCACTGGGGGAGTTCCAGGCTCTCCCTGGGTGCTAGCCCAGAGGCTGGCAGGGAGCACCGGTCCAGGAGGCAGCTGTCTCCTAGTCTCGGGAGGCTGCCTGCTGCTGGGCCAGGGACAACGTCCCCCTGCCCCCGACAGAGCTTCTGGCCCTGGCTTCCTGATCAGGGGCATGTGGCTTGAAAAGAGCTGCAGGGGCTGCGAGCTGCCCCACTGGCAGACTGGGGCAGGGAGTTGAGACCTGTCCATCTCCTGCAGCTCTTTCTAATCCCTGTGCCTTGGTCACCTGATTAAGGCATGTGGTTGGGACCAGCTCCTGATTATGACAGTTCACAACCAGCCCCAGGCTGCTCATGGAAGTTTGCCTGTGTAACCCAGATCTGGCTGGGGACTGCCTGAAACAGGACAGTACCCAGCCACCTCCAGACTGCATGTGCTTCCCTGTGCAGCCTGGGGCTGGATGGAAACTGTCCCGGTCAGGGGCAGGTCAGAGCCAGCTCCAGGCTGGGTAGGGAACTGTTACCATGCAGGGAGCTCCCAACACCAGCTCTGTGCTGGTGGAGAACAAACTCCACAGCCTGTTCTGCCCTAGCTCCGCACTGGTGGAGCTGGGTGGGGAACTAACTCCCTAGTCCCTGCCTGCAGGGAGCTCCCAGAGCCAATTCCACAACTGCAGAGCCACTGCTGGGAGATGCTTATCTCCCAGCCTGAGCCCTGAAGTTGCAAGGCTCGGGCTGAAAGACCCCCTCATCTCCCAGCCTAAACCCTGTGACCACGGGGCTCAGGATGGGAGATGAGCAACTGCCCCACAATGGTGGAGCCGCTGCTGGGAGATAAGGGTCTCCCGGCCTGAGCCCTGTGACTGCAAGGCTCGGGCTGGGAGATGAGGGTCTTCCAGCCTGAGCCTTACAACTGTGCGGGCCGTCTCCAGATCCCATCCTCGTCACCATGTGCGGGTGGCGGGGAGCGATCCGGGCCCTTTTTCGCGCCGCGCGGGCTGTGGCCAGCAGCCCGGGCTCGCTGGGTCGGAGAGAACAGGCGACACACTGGAATTAGGTACGGACGTGTAATGGTTGATTCAAGATTGTTTACTTACACCCTAGATGGTCGCAGTGTAGGCTGGATAGTTTCCCAGGCACAGCTCCGCTTAAATCCTCATTTGAGGACTCAGACAACATTCGATCACTCCCACGGAGTTGTCGAGGCTCTGTGGATCCTTTTGTTCACTCACAATTCACTCACACGAAGTTTGCTAGGCTCCGTGGGTCCTTTTTTTGCGCGCAGGGAGAGGGATACGTCGAGGTTTGCGCTCGGTGACGGGGAGAGGCTAGAGGCTGATCAGACCCCTGTTGCCTGCTTGAAATGCGCTGGGTCCGATAGGTTCCACAGCGCTTAGAGATCTTCACACAGCGTGAAGTCTCCTCCTCCTGGTTGTGGTAAAAATACATTATGACCTGGTCCTCACTTGAGTAATAGCTGTATGAGGCCCTCATGAGGCCCTCATGATCCCTTGTGTAGGAAGCACAAGGCCTAACGACTGAGTTGTGGGTTTCTTTTTCCTTCCTGCTTGCTCTGCATTTTGTAACCATACTTGCATAATGCCCTGAAGTTACACTAAGGTATAAGGTTACTAAAAGACACTAACTTTGCCGCAGTTCCCCTTTTCCTCTGCGCATGCGACAGAACTTTTTGCCGCAGTTCCCCTTTTCCTCTGCGCATGCGACAGAACTTTTTGCCGCAGTTCCCCTTTTCCTCTGCGCATGCGACAGAACTTTTTGCCGCAGTTCCCCTTTTCCTCTGCGCATGCGACAGAACTTTTTGCCGCAGTTCCCCTTTTCCTCTGCGCATGCGACAGAACTTTTTGCTGCAGTTCTGCTTTTGAAATACGCATGCACTAAACTTAACAGGAGATATTAACCAATAGCAAACTAAGCCTAGCCCATGAGATAAGACGTAACAACAAGGAAATTGTGGTACTGCCAATAGTTGTATGACACGTTGTAGCCCTTTGTTTGTGTAAGCTATAAAAGTGTAACCCCGAGAGAAATTCGGGGTTGACACTGCTTTGAGCATCAGCTCCTCTGTCGACATTGCTTGCACAATCAATAAACTCATGACGGACTCACCCTGTGTGTAACTCTCTCCTTGAGGTGAAATTGGTCTAGCCTCCAGGGGCACGAAACTAGCCATTTGGCCAACATGGTGTTCGTGGAGTCCTCCCTTACGGGGGTTCTCCTCGGAGTTCTCCAACTTGGGCGGAAACCACCCAAGCCTTTTATACGGCTAGCAAGCCAATCGCTAGCCGCAACGTGAATAATTTAACGCAAGCCAATAATGGGGCTCGAATTAGAATACAAATGGCGGGAACTCTTTGCACCGAGCATTTCTTAGCTGCAAAGAAGAAATGCACCCTGCAAAGAAAGCTACAATTTGGCGGGAATATAATTCTGTGGTGCCAAAGCACACACAAAAACAAAAATCACAACTTTGGGTTGTGACAACAACCATGGGGCTTAGGCTGGGAGATGGGGCTTAGCAGCCTGGCAGTCACAGAGGCACAGCTGGGAGATGAGGCTCTCCCAGTCACCACTCCACGATCTTGATCTGGGAGCAGGGAGCTTGAAACTCCCTGCTGCCAGGGCAGGTGGACATAGTCCCTGCCCAGGCTACTATGGTGGAATCTACCCTGGCAGCAGGGAGCTATTTCCCGCCTCCTCGTTGATGGCTGACTGGGAGCAGATTTGGCTTCTGGCTAGGCATCTATACAAGCGCTATGGAGCCGTTACTAATGCCAAGTAAATCTGCTACTTGTATTGGCAGGTAGCAAATTTACTCAGGATTAGGGAGATTTACTGTGTAGTAAGCATGTGCATGTGTAGACTCATGTGCTTACCTCACAGTAAACTATGCTAATTCACCATTAAGCATCTCGTATACATGCCGCACCCATTGCGTACTAGCTTTCAGCAAACTCAATGAGAGTTTTCTGGTGATGGACATTTGTTCAGTAGCAATTGAACTGAAACTTCATAGCTATTTTATATATGTCACTGACTATGGCAGCATCATCTGGCAACTCTGGGATGGTCTGGACAGAGTAGGTGAACTGAGTAAGTATATGGATAGCATTTACTAAGCATTGGATAGCATTTACTAAGCCTGCCTTAAATATAACTAATGCTTTAGGACAAGAGTTGAAAGTTCATTCTATTGTACTTAAGCCTCTGAAAACCAAGACAAATCAAATTAAAATGCAGCTGCCCTCTAAGTTCTGAAATGTTACACAGTACTGGCAGTCAACACTGCATTACTAAAGTTTGTGGGTAACTAATTTCCATTGATTTGAGGAATTGTTGGCAGTGCATGGGATGCAAATAGATGGCACAGGGAGGCTTCCAAAAAACACACCACTGCCACCTAACTGCTCAAGCAGAGGAAGGTAGTAACTAATAGGATGCAAGGAATACCTTATCAGCTAGAAGTAGAGTTAAAGGGAACCCCAGACTTTGTCCTTCACATTCAGGACTTGTGCAGGAAGGAGAGATTCAAAGAATTGTACTGGTATCAAGTGGCTCATTCATCTCAATGGGTTGTCCTCAGACAAATCACAACACTTCAAAGAAATTAATTACAGCTTGATGCATTAAGCTTGAGAGGAAGGAATTGGTGTTTTCTCCGCTTTTCAAAGTACATCCCTGTTCTCCTCCTGGATTGTCAACTTTCAAAATGATCTTGCTATGCAGACAGAGTACTGTACTGGGAAATGTCAAAGTTCATGTGAGGAACCATTTGCTGAGAAACACCTTGATCAAGTGAATCCATGTTTGTACCACAGTCTGTAGTGGCTTGCTAATTTTCAAATCAATCTTCCTAGGCATATGCAGTTTAGGGCACGTTGAAGTCAAGGGGCTCCTTCCTAACGTCCTATCGCACGAATCCTTTGCTCAAAGGACCCAACCTACAATACTATCCCAGCTGTAATGTAGCACAACAGGGTTATAGGGGAGAGGCAGTG